GGGGGGGGGGGGAGTGGTGCCACAGCGGGGGCGGGTCGTGACATTTGAACATAGACTCGTCGTCCGATTTTCGGCCGGGAATCCGAGTAAAATCCGGAAATAAAATTCTCAATAGCTTGAGTCATGACCGCATAACAAATATCAGTCATAGTCTAAGCGACTCTCCCGAAGAAGAAGAAGAAGAAGAAGAAGAAGAAGAAGAAGAAGAAGAAAGAACGAGCCTAAAATGGATGAATTTAACAGATCAACACTTGTGGATTACAGAATAAAAGGTTAATATCTTAGCATAAAGGTTTTACACCTGCTGCGCATATTATATATTCAGCTTCCAGGCGAGAATGACGGGAAACCAACGTGCGTGTTCTGGGATCACGTGGCCCGCGACGGCGTCGGTGATTGGTCGGAATCGGGCTGTTGGGGCGGGGACGTGCGTGATGGAAAGTTCGTCTGCTACTGCGAACACTTGACCAACTTTGCCGTTCTGATGGTGAGAGCGATTCGAACGCGTGTGGCATTGCGACATGCCGTGATAGCATGGTGTAACGTGATATAACGTGACGTGACATGCTGTAACGTGATATGGTGTGCTATAATGTGACGCGATGGGCGGTAACGTGATATGATGCGTTATAACATGATGTGATATGCTGTAACGTGATATGATGCGTTATAACATGATGTGATATGCTGTAACGTGATATGATGCGTTATAACATGATGTGATATGCTGTAACGTGATATGATGCGTTATAATATGATGTGATATGCTGTAACTACTTACGATGTTTCTCGCCTCCCTCCCTTCCCGTCCGTCCCTACCCCTCCCTCCTCCCGTCTCCTCCCTTCTCCCTCCTTCTTTCTCCTCCTCCCTATCTCCTCCCCTCTCCTTTCTTCTCTCTCCTCCCCTCTCCCTCCTTCTCTCTCCTCCCCTCTCCCTCCTTCTCTCTCCTCCTCCCCCTCTGCATCCCTCTTCCTTCTTCTCCCTTCTCCTCCTCCTCCTCCCAACGTGGCGCGGATGGTGCCGCCCGACCATGAGCGCGTTCCCAGCATCATCAGCATCGTCGGCCTCCTCCCCCCTACTCCTCCTCCTCTTCCTCCTCCCACTTCCTTCCTCCTCCTCTTCCTCCTCCTCCTCTTTTTGCTACTCCTCCTCCTCCTCCTCTTCCTCCTATTGCTCCTCCTCTTCCTCCTCCTCTATCCTCCAGG